CATTTTGCAACTATAAAGACAAGAATCCTTCATCTAGCCTCCTTTCCTCCCCTGCCAAACACTTCAGCCGCAAGAAGAAATAGTGACTACTACACCTAGACTGAAATGCTGAATTCATGATGGAGTCCAAACTGTTAGGTGGTAGGAGAAAACCAAGTGGAGAACACTCAACTTCTTTTTCTGTGTTCTGGCTGGGTCCATTTTTATTTCATACCCCGTTGAAAATGAATGACAGGTAAGTATCAAACACATGGGCAGCAGTATGGATTGACCCACAGAACTACTGCATCTGGTCCACTAATGGGCTACCTGAAGTGCAGCAGAGCAGAATTTGGGGCCTTTGGACTCCAGTGGACATGACTATCAGTGGCAGCACCCTCAGCTACACACCACTACCTAAATGTGGCCCCATGCAGCTACACATCTCCAGCTCTGCATCACTGCAAACCCCTGGCTTCTCACCAATGCAAGCCCCCTGGATTTGCACTACCCAAACACAGCTCCATGCAGCCACCTGGTCCTAGGCCCACAGATCCAGCCCAGGAGAAGCCCCTATTGTCCAGATCTGATTCAGGGCCTGGGGTGAAAGTTTGATACCCCTGGCTTACAAAAAATCCTTTTAGTACAATTCTAAAGGAAGGTAACGGGCGCACTTCTCTGCTGAATTAACACCAGTGATAGGGATGAAACTCATTCTGACCCATCTTTGTATTAATGAGGAAAGAAAGAAACTGCAACATTATGAAAAATAAGTCTTCTCTGATATTGACTATATTTAAGAGCAACTGCATATCCACTTGTATCAGCAGCAGCTTAGACTTTTAGTTTGGGCGTCTAAATCACAGAATCCAGTTTCAATCAAACTGGCCTGGAAAAAAAAAAAAGAATCCTGAAATGACTGAGCCTGTGAGTGTATTTAACATTAGGAGGTGAAGACAACTCTCTCCATCCCTTTCTTCCATTCTCCTACCGTAGGACAAAAAGCATGCATCAACAATAGATTCAGAAAACTTTCTGGCACTCAAATACAAGACCCCCAATTCAACACTTATTGCATGATTCATATATATCCATTCCCAAATTTTGATTCCCTGTTGTAAATAGAATACCCGTTCTTGATGCCATTACAGATAATTACTCAGAGGGGAAGGGAGAGACACCAAGATGGTTATTATAACCTTGAAATACAAGCTAGGTGAAAGTACCATAATGTGGATACATAACTGGTTGGATCATCATGCTCAAAGAGAGGTCAACAATAGCTCAATGTCTACTTGGGAAGAAGTATCCAGCAGGGATCCCCAGGGTCTGTCCTGGGTCCAGTATTGTTCAACATCTTCATTAATGATTTTGATCATGGGACTGAGTGCACGCTTAGCAAATTTGCAGATTACAAGTTGAGTGGCGTTTCAGACACTCTGATGAGCAGTTCTAGGATCTAGAATGACTGAAAGGGTGGGGGGGAGAGAGGAAAGTGGTCAGCAATTAATCAGGTGAGATTCAACAAGGACAAGTGCAAAGCCCTGCACTTGGGATAGAATAATTGCATGAACAAATATAGACTACAGAATGACTGGCTGAGCTGCAGTGCTGTAGAGAAGGACCTGGGAGTTACAGTAGACGACAGACTGAATGAGCCAAGTGTGCTCTGGTTGGAAAAAAAAAGAACACAACAGTATATTGTTGGCTTAACAGAAGTGTCACTTGCAAAGCAAGAGAAACAATTCTCCTGTTCTATGCAATAATGGTGATATCTTACCTGGAGTACTGTGTCCAGTTCAAAGTCCCACAATTCACAAAAGGATGTGGACAGATGG